GGTCAAGGAGCTATTAAGGAATACACATAGTTAGACAAATTATTAAATTATCCTTCGTTTATACGACAAAAGTAAAAGAAATTGCTAGATGTTGACTCACAGAATGTGGCAACTGGGAACACTCAAATTTGGACAAAAATGCTCCACCAAACTTTGTCAAATCAGTGAATGGCATCTCAGCGTGAACAGCAATAGTGTTGCCAGGAATGCTCCTTTCATCTGGACCAGACTGAGCCAAAAATAACTGTAAGGCACTAAAATGAGAAACTAGTACCTTAAACAAAGTATACAACAATCAAATTGCATCGTTGATGTAATGCCGTGAAAATCTCATTGGAAAGGGAAGACTGTAAAAGACTATTGTGTTGCAACAACTACTACTGTAAAAGACTGTAAAAGACTATTACTACAATGAGCATTAGGAGATAGTATCTTTAACCAACGGCATAAGACATGGAACAATTATTATTCCCTATTTACCGTAACCACAATAAATCTGTCGGTTGTTGGCTCTGGTCCGATATGTGCACCTATTTCAACCAAAAGAGAGAAGAAAAGAACAAACATTAGGTAAATACTGGCAAATAAAAGTACAGAAATTGGACAGTACTAACCTGGATAATTGCACTTTAGCAAGTGTTTGATAAAAGTGGTTTTTCCTGTTGAGTATTGTCCCAAAAGCATGACCATAGGCTTGGCATCAAAATCGCTCTCCGTCTATGAAAACAAGTAAAAGTAAGCATTCAGAAATACAAGTTAAACATCTATAAGGTCGTCGGAGAATACTACTATTAAGACATAATCAATATGTTTTTCATGCACTCACCAGAGCAGGAGATGCAAAATCATTAAAGCGGTAAGTAAGTTCTAGTGGCTTCAACTTTTCATTGTATAGTTTCTTCAAACCATCAGTTACAGATGTAACAGCAGTGAGGGAAGGCTGGATCTGAATCAGAATCCAAACGAAACAATGTCAAAATTAGAAATGAGAAAATATTCAGATGACCAGTTTGTAGTAAAGACACTACTACTACATTGAGGGACAAGGCTTGGCGGAACTTTTGGTTCTCCGAGTTAGTCAAGTTACTAAGAAAAGAGACAAAATTTGAAAAAATAACACAATGCTCAATATGGAGTATGTAAACTAAGATAGATTTCATAATAACATCCCAAGGAAATCAGAACTCGCCTTCTTTCTAGATTTTCTGGAAAACATGTTGATTGGTGACGGTGGCAGCACTTGTATAGTTCCTGTATGCTTTTTCAAGTTAGGCAATTTAACCAAGACAGCTTATGATTCTTTTTATTTGTGTAAAACCATCATTGATGTGAAATGACACTTTATACTGACCATTTGTTCCACTCAGGTTTTTCATCAACGATCCACTAGTTTTCTGTGTGGCAAAAAAAGAAACCATTCATAACCAAGGGCTTATAGTTCTCATTTCTCAATAAGAAAAAGATGAATTGTCAAAGCACTTACGGAAAATAAAGCATCCAAGCCTTCCATCGATGGAGGACTCAAAAGCTCCATATTAGCTACAAATATCAACAAGAGAAAACGAAACAAGAATTAAATCAACCATGAAATACTCAAATGTTTTCATCACCATGACAGCCAATTGATTACTATGTTAAACAAAATACATTCTAAAACTTATAAAACTATGAAATGTGCATAATCTTTTTTGGATGAACTGATGCAATAGTAAGTATGTTCACTATAAATTTACTTTATGAAAATTGAGTAGCCCATTAAGCAGATAGACAGTAATTCCTTTCAAGAGTATATAATGAACGTGAACACTCAAAATAAGATAGGCATATAAGAAATATTTCAATGATAATACATCCTCTGTTTAACACATTGACAGTAAAATACGGCTCAAATATTATTTGAGCTTAAATTTAACCTTGTGACTCTCTGACCCTAAATGCTTCAAATGGATTATAAATAATGATCAAGAAGCATTACCTTTGCTCTTAAGAAGATCAGAGCTGAGTTCAGATCCATCTTGTGCCAAGGAGATCAACTACAATAAAAAGAAAAAATGAGTTTAGCTTCTATTTGATCAATTTAGACAGAAGTTATAGAAAGGAAAAAAAAAAGTTTAGTGGCAAATATGACCTGCATTGCAGTGACAAACTCGTTGAAACCCAGAAAACCTTGTCGTTTAGAATCTGCGATTGCCCAAACCTTCATACACAAAAATTGAAAAACTAGTGATTTAACACTATCACATTAGGTAATACATCTAGCAAGTCAACAAAGAAGCAAAAGCTGCTAACACAGTCCAAATGTTGCTTTAAAACAAAAAGAGAACCTCAAGGTTCCCTTGAACTCATTGCACACTGAAGGACTTTTATGCTGGAAAATAGCAAGACCAGTCTATTTTCATTGGTTGGGAATTCTCTTCGACAATAAATGTAGTGGTATATATATATATAGTTAACCAAAAGATGGCAATGTAAATGACACTTGCATAAAATTTGAATTAAGCAATCACTACTACAGAAGTTACTAATGAACACATAAATAACTTCTATAAGAACGAAACACTACACTGAAGTTCAAAGATGCACATGTACATCTATGTCTCTATATGTGCATTTGTTATGTGTATGTATGTCTACAAATCATATATATAAATCAAAAAGGCTTAGAAGGTAAACAGACCATGTATTCAAAGTAAAAAATCATGAAATTTATTTCTACACCAAAAAAGGGACAAAAATCAGAACAATTGCACAGAAAAACACTACCTGCTTGAGTTCAGGCCTTAAATGGATGACTCCTAAATAAATTTGAATATTCAAATAATCAACCGATAAACAATTGCACGCAGATTACTAATCAACAGATAATTAACAAATACACAAGCAAAATTCAATGATGAAGTTCAAAAACGACCATATAATCATATACGATCACTATGTGCGCGCGCCTACATGTGTGTATGTGTAAATCAGATATATAAACAAATCTCACCTTACAGACACACGATAGGCAATAGAATATTCAAAACAAACTATTATAAATTTCATTTCACCAAAAAAATTGACAAAAATCAGAACAATTGCACAGAAGAACACTAACCTGTTTGAGTTCAGGCTTCGACAGATTCGACAACGAAAACAACTTAATAGCATCATTTCCTGTAATACGACCATCTCCATCTGCACACCGAAGCCAAAAAAAAAACACAGCGATTGCATTTTTTTTCAGTAATTTCATCGAAAAATGCAAAAACGAAGAGTTGCTCAACAGAACAGATGAAAAATGTTTAAGACGAGAACAGAAAATCGCACCTGAATCGGCGAAATTGAACCAGTTTTGGTAGATCTTTTCATCCTCTTTCGTAAACGAAGCAACCGGAACTGATACAATCTCCATTTTTGCGTTTTTTGCTCTACGGAGAAGAAGAACAGTATTCTTCAGTAATTTGAAATTTGAAAAACCCCTGAAAATTGCGGCCCCTTTTTATAATAGATACAGACACTATTTTCGAGGTGTTACTAAACTGTGAGAAATTATCTAGTAAAATTATACGGCTATTTATCATCAAAATATTTAGAATATTAAATCTTGGTCATCCATTATATTTGAATCTGAGATCGAATTTGTTGGATAATTTGTTCGATTCCCTTGATTTTTTCAAACTGATGGCATAGAAAGAGGGAAAAATACCCATAAAAATAAATAGATTTTATAATTTTATTTATTTACGGGATTCATGATTTACATGTCATAAAAAATAATTTAATTTGTCCAATTAAACTTATAGATAAAAGTTTTAAATTGGGTAATTTTATTGATACAAAATAAAGTTCAATGATTTTATTTGATAATTTCATAGTTCAGTGATTTTTTAAAATATTAACTCGATGGGGGTAAGGATATACTACTATCTTTTCTTTTTCTTCCTTTTATAGGATAAACTAAATTTTATAGTCTCATTCTTACGACAAAATGATATTTTAATTTGACATGAAGTTTGAAAAGAATCAAAAAGTCGTGAAATTTGTGAACATGTTACAATATTTGTATGATTATAGACCTTTGTAACTTGTCGTCTTGAACATGTACTAATATGTGTTGTTTTAAACTCTTAATTCTCTATTTTAATAATTTGCTATATTAGCTAAAAACATTTGAATAAGCGACGTTTTTATAGATATGTTCGATTGTATACAATATCTATTTCATTTATTGATGTTTTTGAGTCGATAGATGCATTTTTTTTTAAAAAAAACTTTTAAAACTTGTGAATATGTTGCATAACATTTGTTTGTCTTAATATTATTTTCGTTATTATAAAACTCTTTATTATTTACAAAATAAAAAATTTAATATTAAATTATTTTCAAATAGTGTCACATAAACTAGAGTTGTAAGAATTTATTAAATGGACATTTAGGTCGATTCATCATTGAAAAAAATAATTAGAAATAATTAATTTTGGAATAGAAGTGACTTGGAAAGAATCTTTGAAAAATGCCTTAACTTATCCAATAAAATCTCAAAATTTGAAATTCAAAAGTGAAACTAGCCGAAAGAAGAGACAGCCAAGAGCGTAACACTGGAGATTCAAATTATTATTATTATTAATAACGACTTAACGTGCAATTACATTTTACTCGGTTATCGTTTTTGGTATAATTATTTGGTATTCAAAACTCATTAGCTAGACTAATTTGATTTCACGTTGCGTAAGGCTTATTAAATGAGAAAACGTTTCTTATCAGAATTTTTTTCATTTTCAGAGTTTGAATCTGAAACATCCTATTAAAGGCAGAGGGATCTTATCTATCCTACCACGATAATTCGTGTTATATTTCAAATTATTCTAACATATTATGACCTAAATTTGGATTAAATGTAACCAATTGTTCTTTCCACAACTACAAGAAAACATTAATACATATACTTAGTCAATGCACCTTCTAAGCAAAACACTAATATATGTTTTTGTTTCTTTTTAACTTGAGCATGTAGATCTTCAAAAAAGGCAACAAAACACCTGCAAAAACCATAGACAAAAGCAAAATCAGACAAATTAAGGATTATATGTAATCGAGGTGCGTGAAAGTTGACTCAGACACTACAGTCATAAAAAAAGGATCATATATGAATGTGAAGCCATTTCAATTCTTTTTTCATAAATGGGACACGAAGATCACTATTTTGTCCATTGTCCATGACGTTATTCATATTAAAGTATGTGACAATCTCATATCTTTAACACTTCCCATATACATCCGTCTCATGAGTTATAGTCTAGTGGATGCAGAGTAACTCTGCATCCACCACTACCTATAGCTCAAGTCGAAGAAAGGATACAATAATACATACCTTTGATTTAGCATTTTTTTTGCGATTATTTGATGAAGACATGTTTGATTGTGGCTGCACAATAGGGAATTTTGCAGCTGCTATATGCTTTTCCTCTTTAACTTTGTTGAAAATTACTGTAAATCCTTCTCCAGATTTCGGGTCTTTCTCATCCCATGCCCCAAATTTTGGTACTGATGCTGCTGATGAACAAGACTAACATACATACACATACATGAAGAAATGAAAATTAGAGACATAATGTTCCAGTTCTATTTGGTGTAAACACAGAATGCGAGTAAATTTTTATTGTCAAAACAAGTTCATTTTGGTAGCAATACACGAAATACGATAAACTTAGTCTCCCAAAAATATGTTCGTACATCATAAGATAGAACTCGTTTTAACACACTCAAAGTGAGATCTACTGCTGATCAATGAAGTTGACTGAGAACCATGAGGTTTAATTCCCGGTGGAAATAAAAAACAAAAGCAATAGGTGATTCTTTTCTCATTTGTCCAGGACTTGGTGGACAGAGTTACTCGATATTTGTGTTGGTGGGAGGTAGTAGATGCTCGTGGAATTAGTCAAGGTGCACACAAGCTGACTCAGATACCACCACGACTCATTTTAACCATCAAGTTCATAGACAAATCTATCACTATGACATATTAATCACTTCATCAAAGCAGAGTATTTCATGAAGTACTTTCTTTAAGAGAATAAGAAACTTACAAGATCATCAGATGGATTTCTGCTATTTTTCATCAGTCTATTCGGACTAGGTGGAACGAATCCATTGCCACGATCGTTCTTATTCTTCTTAACATCAGATGTTCTTCTTCGTCGTGTTGGCTGGTTAACTGAAAAACCAGAAATGCTCTGACTATCCCCAAAGGACTCTGAATTTGAATTAGTCGGGCCAATACTCTTGTTTTGGCCCGACTCTGCAGAAGGATTTCTGCGATGACCATAATGGTACTGATGTTTTTCGACTAAAGGAGTTTTCGTAGGAGAAATGTTAATGCTAGCATCCTCATCTCCGCAACATGCAAAGGCCTCTGGATTCTCCTCTGGATCATTTGGATTTATCATTTTACCTCCTTTATTATAACTTTTGCGCGCATTCTCAAAATAAGCTGTGTATGGCACATTTTCGCCATCCCAATTCCCAAATTTTGGAACATGTGATCCCTGATGCAACAAAAGTACTTCAGAAGTATAAAACAACAACAACAACGCCTCAATCTTAAGCAAGTTGAGGTCGACTATAGGAATCTCAGCTCAACATTATACAAATACTTGAAGTTCTTTATAGTTTCTATTGGTATAAAACAACAACAACGCCTCAATCTTAAGCAAGTTGAGGTCGACTATAGGAATCTCAGCTCAACATTATACAAATACTTGAAGTTCTTTATAGTTTCTATTGGTATAAAACAACAACAACGCCTCAATCTTAAGCAAGTTGAGGTCAACCAGAATTTGTTTGTCTGGTTTTGATATAGCACGGAACTTAATAAAGTAAAGATGATGTCGAGTTCTGTGGTTTTAAACTAAAAATATGTACAAGGTATCGAAATGTCCTCTTGTGGACATAAACATGTAATGTGAAACGTTAAAATTAGAGTTGTCAAACAAGGAAAAAGGTTTTTTTTTTATACAAACAAAAAAGGAAGGTAAGACAAACAATTGAAACAGAAGGAGTATTAACATGACTGAAGAGATTCAAAATATATAAAAGTAGATACACGAAGAAAATAAGGTGATTTAACATCTATCATATATGCGTCAAAAAACAATATTCAAGAGAAAATAAGATAATTAAGGTGCAAAAATATCAGAATTTTGAAGAAGGAAACATTACTTACAGCCATGAATGATATTGGAGTTTAATTCTTCTTCAATGGAAATATAATAACTATGTATTAAGAAAACTCAAGACTTAAATTGGGACAAATTTTCCTTTTTAATTTATCTGAGATCCCAATGAGCTTTTGGACCTGCTAGGCAAATTAAGAAAGAGGTTTATTTGGTTACATATATTTGTTTTCATTATAAATTAAGTTAAACAAAACAACCTTGGACTTCAAAATTGTCTTTAATTTCTTGGCATGAAGGAAAAAACAAATGATCCTTAACTAAATTTTTTTTGATTCAATTGGTTTTTGTTGACTCATCAATTGGAGAGTTAATTGTTGGTTAGACCTATTTGTTTATATATTTCAGAAATCTATACCAAATAGTCGATCGGATTTATTATTTACTTGTTCTAGTCAGTATACTTAGATTATACACTTTTATTCATGTAATAAACTTAAATCCAATGATGACACTAACCAATTTCTCAACTACACTAATAAGGCTAAAGTTCAATTACAGTTTCAAAAAGTAAATATAACGACTCAAAAGGTAAAAGTCCAAGCGAAAATGTAGAAGTAGTGAAAGTAAGAACTAGGATTGACCAAAGAAGGAGACGGGGAACTAGGCTAAGAGAGTACATGATAAGAGATACAGGCGTTGCCTAATTAGCATGATCATAATACGCATAATTATTCTTTCTAACTGAGAGTCCTTTTAAACTAGTTGTTAATTGGGTCTGGATCTCAAATCAACATTTGTGAAGGTCTTCTAGTTCTATTTCTCAGCCCAATAGTTGCTTGTGTGACATCCCTATAAGTATCGACATTGGATTTAGGCTGATTCATAACAATTCACATGTTATACATGTATATATTATATATACATATGTTACACAATCACCGACTATTTTTAAGTAAAAACGGTTAAATGAACGACTATTTCGATTGTAGTCCCTACTGTCACGGACTTAGAGTATTTGCTAAGACTCCGTGCGGGTAGTGGCGGGACATGACACTACGTTTCTCTTAATGGACCTATTCGATGCAAAGGGAAATAACATTTTTAGTCCCTTAGCTGTGGAATTTGGATTTTAGTCCTTATGGTATATGATTTAGCATATCTAATCTTTACTCAACAAAAATGTGCATTTTGATCCTTTATGTAGAAAATATATTATATTTGAACTATTTTAGAACTATATTACCCTCAAGTATCGAATAACAATACAAATTAATATTACATATCAACAAACCAAAGTGATATGATTGATAATGTGATAATTTCCTGACGAATAAAATACAAAAGGATTGAAAGTACATTACTTCAATTAATTGAAGGCTTCAAAATTAAATTCACAAGAATCAAAATTAAAATTTAACAATGTTTAAAGAACCAATCCTTCAATTATCCCTATTTCAAAATGGAGTTGAAATGACTCTTGGACTAAATAATTAATGAAGCTTTTCTATATATTTCTCAAGTAAGAAAGAGTGATGAAAATTTTCCTACTTCAATTATATAATGTAAAAATAGCTTGATGGCTTTGCACTCACCACAAAAAACAAAGGCAAATTAGGCTAAAAGAAATTTGTCAATTATTGATATTGTTATAAATTTGTGAAGAGTCACTGATATAAAATTAAAAGTGCATTACTTTAATTAATTGAAAGTTCAAAGTGTTTTAAAAAATTTAAAAATAGTCAAGGGACCAAAATTATAATTCTCCCTACGCCAAAATACACTTGTAACGGTTTTTGATTATATAATTAATGAAATTCTCCTATATATTTTTCAAGTAAAGAATAATAATTAGTTTACCAATAAAACAAATATAATAATGAAATTTTTTCTATAGTCAAGGGACCAAAGTATAATTCTACCTACACCAAAATTCAGTCAAAATGATTTTAAGATTATATAATTAATGAAATTTTTCTATATATTTTCCAAGTAAAGAATAATAATTAGTCTACCAATAAAACAAATATAATAAGAAAAGTTATTCTATAGTCAAAGGGACCAAAAATTATAATTCTCCCTACGACCAAAATACACTTGTAACGGTTTTTGATTATATAATTAATGAAAATTTCCTGTAATATTTTTTCAAGTAAAGAATAATAATTAGTTTACCAATAAAACAAATATAATAATGAAATTTTTTCTATAGTCAAGGGACCAAAGTATAATTCTACCTACACCAAAATTCAGTCAAAATGATTTTAAGATTATATAATTAATGAAAATTTCCTGTAATATTTTTTCAAGTAAAGAATAATAATTAGTTTACCAATAAAACAAATATAATAAGAAAAGTTATTCTATAGTCAAAGGGACCAAAAATTATAATTCTCCCTACACTAAAATGCAAGTCAAAATAGTTTTAGGATTATATAATTAATGAAAATTTCCTGTATATTTTTCAAGTAAAGAATAATAAATAATCTAACCAAATAAAAACAAATACAATTAAGATAGTTTTTCTATAGATTTGATAAATAATTATTAGCTTCATCACTTTTTCACCTATATAATGTAGAAAAAACATGATGATTTTGCACTCACAATTGAAAACAAATTAGGCTAAAGCAAAAATGGCTCCTTACTCAATCTCTTTCACAACATTTCTTGCTTTGGTTTTGATAATTGTTTGTTTCAAAAGTGGCCACTCTAGATCTTTAATCCCCATTGAAGATTATGATCCCCCAAGAGCAAGTCATTGTCATAATAATGGTGAATATTGGGTTTGTCCACCCCATAGAGGAGAGCATGAATCTAATGCGCTAAAACAAGAATCAACCATCAAAGATAGACGACCTGTAAGATCTGAACATGATTCTCCAATTTGGCATCCTGTTCCAACTTGGCATAAAGTTCCACCACGAGTACCACCACCACGAGTACTAGTACCACCGCCAAAACAAGAGTAGATTAAACATATGTTCTAAAAAATTTATGTATGTCCATCTGCAAAATGATGGTTGTGTTGAACCGTTGGTGAATTTCAATTTCAATTTTAATTATAACATCTTTATTTCTCCCTTTTTTCTCTTTTTATTTATTACAAAAGCATCATTAATCTTGATCCTAACAATGAATTTTAGTTAAATGTTTAATAATGTAGTTCAACTTAGATTTAATTTATACACTAATGGCAACGATGTGAAGATTTAATTTATGCATTATTAAGATAAATTTAACAGGCTATAACACATAGCTTTATTATCCTTTTAAATTTAAGTTACAAATCAATAAAGATTTGCTTCAAAAATATTAACATGACTAAAACTTAAATCCCAAATTTCTTAATTATGGTCCTTGAGAACCAACTTCAAGGTGTGTTCTAATAAAAAAGGAGTGATAGCTAAGGTATAAAATTTGCGAAAAGTTTATAATTTAGCAAGGTAAATAGAACAATCGATAATTGAGGTATGAGGCTCAAAAAAATTTTAATAATTTTATTGTTTTTTACCAATTAATAACTTAGCAAAATATGATAAATCCTTTTTGTAAAAGCTTCTAAGTGATAATTTTTTCTTTTTTATTATTCTTTCTTTTAAAATCATAATATCTTTTGATTTTAAAGTGTATTACACATGTTTTATGCTACTATTACACATATAGTCTAATAATTCACATTTTTTAAAAGTTAGATGTATGCTCACATGTAAAGTCCAAGCTCTTTTCACTTTAATTTTTATGTTACATTTTTTTATCAACCTAAGATTTCTACGATATAAATGCAAAAATCTTGAACTTTCCATCACAAATAATAATAATAATTTTTTACCAAAATGGGCCGCTCGATTTTAATTTTCGAGTTTGTGTTTTTAGCTCTAATAATTGCAATTGGTTGTGTTAATGGCAATTATCAATGCCCTAATACCATTGTTAAGCTTTTGCCATGCAAAGATTTTTTAATGGGAAAGGGTGATATTAGTGGTCATTGTTGCAATGGTGTTAAAGGATTAATGAAAATGGCTACTTTTGATAATTAAAGTATTTGTGAATGCCTCAAGAAAGAAGCTTTGGCTATTGGAGTAATTGAAGAAAGAGCTAAGCAAATACCTCAACTTTGCAACATTAGCCTTTCTATTCCTAGTGATCCTAATGTGGATTGCAAAAACTAATATTTTCCTCCCTCTTTTAATAGTTGTTCACTTTTGATTTAACAAATTATTGTCATGTTAGTCTTTTTTTCATTTGGTATTCAATATTCGTGTTGGAGTCTCTCTAAATCTGGATTAGCGTATTGCAAGGCCTTATCCAAACATGAACCATCTAGTTAAGGGGGTGAAGGGATCACGGACCATCCCACCACAATCAATGTTGATAATTAATGGCAGTCAATTAAGTGAATGAAAATTAAGTTCATGGCTAAATTACCATTTATTCTAACTTTAACTTATGATCAGTTTATTATTTTATTAATTGGTTTAATTTTGGAAAATGCAGTGCTATAGCTCCATGAAGTGGAATACAGAAATAGCTAAGAAGACTATGATCATTTCATTAGACTTAATGTGTATTGTGTTTGAATATGAGTGATATGATCAAACGTTTTATCTAATAAATTATTCAGGTTGAACTAAATTTGAGCGGATAAAAATAAGATGAATTATTAAATAGAAACTAATACTCCATGAGAGTTGACAAAATGAAAACTCTGAACCGATGGCTAATATGAGACTTTTTGAAAAATCCAATCCTAATCTTAGTTTTCTTTTTCTAGTAGGATTAATAAAATAATAAGAGTATTAGTTTCCTTTTTCTAACTTACCTAATTACAAATTGGGACACTATATATAAGTGTGTGCGCTCTTAACTAGTTTTATCATTAGTATAGTTCTAGTGCAATTTTATTTACGTACATACAACAAAAACAATGACAACATTCTACGTTCGTCCATGTCAAAATCCATATTTTTTCCCAATTCCAAAAGTTGAATATCATCCAATTCAATTAACAGAAAATCGGGTGATCCATAAACAACCTATTTTCATCAGTTGGGCT